TCTATGCTCTGTGTCACGCATCAAATGTATTACTACATGGAGTTAGGAGGCGTGTCATTCCTTGAAGGTAGGTTTCTGTTCTTTAATCGCTTTTTTTCAACACGCAGCACTTTTAGTTTCCATAAACGGTGTCTGGAACTACCTATTGTTAGCTTGATTTACATAAAAAAAGTTTTAGAATATACCAGATTGATTTGATCAGGAGGTTGTGTTGTTCGTTCCATACTGATTATGTTGAAATACCTCAAATGTGGAATGAACACAAAAATCGAGATCTCGTTTTAAAACCGGACAGGTTGGAAATTGGGACGCGAGAACAAACTTCCATTAAGGTTGGTAAAGCGATTTCACAAATGGATTTTTTTAATTTTTCGAATACCTCAGATTCAGATGGTATTTAGTATATCGAAGGTTAGTTAACAAAACCTTGGCAGAAGATGTTTTGAGTTCAGTCTCCAGGCTGAAGGCACGGAATCACATTCCTGAAGTAAGGGATCGAGGAGCTCAAAACAATGCTCTGGAATCAAGAACTCTTCAATTGTAGTTATAGTTGTCATTTAAAAGTTGTCTTCTCGCCTTGGGTTTGTGACTAGCGCATGTTGTTTTATTATCATGTAAAATATGCAAAATATTGATGTGCCTGAATGCTAATTCCACGTGGATGTGAATAATCATGTCTGTGTTTAGTTTACACAATAATGTCGTTGTTGTGCAATCACGTTTTATTTTCTCACCGGATTTTAAGACCGGATTGCTCAAGTAAAGCTGTAATTGGACAAATTCCTTGGTTTCTGAAAGCGACAGATTTACCTGTGAAATTATCAGCACGTGAGAGATAAATGACGCGGCTGAATTTTGGGTTCGAACGTGCTTTTGTGAATGCATGAATTAAACAAAGGCGTGTTTCCACTTGAAGCATATCTTTTAATAACTTCTACGTCTTCTACGGAGGACGTACAAGTGTTGTGTTAGTCGATCTTAAAAGCTGGAATTTCCAAAGTTAACTTATATTTTGATTTTAATCGAAGCAACGAGAATACACTTTATGCCCCCTCTCGAGTTTCTTTTGACCCGGAATTTTATGGGATTATTTGGATTAGCCGGAATAAAAAATGTCATAGATTTCATTTTCGAAAAGAAAGGAAAAATCTCGAGTCGGAGCTTACGTGTTGCGATCTGAAGAATTTACATAGCGGAATTGGTAATTATTTTAATTTAAACACAGCTGGAAGTTGAGAAATACGTCATGCCAAGTTCCGTGTTCGTTGTTATGTTTCTCAGTGACGGTCTCAATTATTAACTTTTAGTGAAAACTCAGTTGTGAGTATTTCCCTGTACTATGCAGAGCAGAATATGCGTTGTGCGATTAATTTACTGGTGTGTGATCGTATTAAATATGTGACCGCAGAGCGGAACTCATATTACAACTGACACTGTGTGCCCAGATTTAACACTGGTTTCTACAGGTCACTTCGCACTTACCTCACATCACCAAAGCGTTAACAAGGAGGTCACGTAATTATGCAGACTGGAAATCGTCAGTCAGTTATTTTGATCGGAGGTTTCAACGAGATTGCATTTAATTTATCTTTCACTGTAACTTAAAAGAGTCCTAGTCTCCGCTGCTTGTCGCTCATATAAAATTCAGTATAAAGTTGTTTCTTTAAGTTGACAAGATGTCTACAATAATTATTGATTTGAGATATATAACCCGGATTAAACAGGTCACAAAAATATAAGGAAAGACCGAAAATTCACAGTGAAATTTGCATAATTGGCTGTGTGATTTTAAACAAAGCTATTGCGCCAAATGTCACACACAGACGATAGAAGCTTAATAACTTCAAAGAGATTAAAAATCCATGCAACTGAAAACACGTTAGCGTTGAAAACGAAGAACGCATCATATATTTACATCACCATGTTACTTTCATTTTCATCATTTTTTCGCCGTAACCAAAGAAAATGCGTGTTGATGGTAAAGAGAAGACATAACCGCGAGACAGCAACAAGTGTTAGGAATGTTTACATTTTCACGGTCAGGAGTTTCTATTTACAGGTAAAATACTCATTCTTGGAAAGAGTGCCAGTATATTTCTCAAAACACAGTCAGGGGGATGGGGAAGTCAGTCTTGAACCGGAAATGGCCGTCGTTGTTGTGGACAAGTTTATCAACTTACAGGAAATAAGAAAATAGACTTTGTGATTTCTTTTGTTTCTACTTATGTAAATATTAGTCACAAGCGTGGGGAAAATCTAAAAATCCCACGAGGATTCGAAACTCAGACCTGATTTCGCGTAGGATGCTCTATCAACTGAGATATAGAGAACTTATCATTAAGCTAGAGCTGTGTTAGGTTCGATTGTGTTAAGCAGCTGGCATACTGCTACGACTAGCATGGCAACTTGGCAAGTGCGAAACAGACCTGTGAGGAGATAGAATAGAAAAGAAAGTAAATTTTGAGCTCAGTCGTAGACGTAAATTGACCGACTTTTGATTTATTCCTTCAACTTCAAAGCCTAAGTTACAATGAAAGCTTCTTGTTCCTTATTCGGTTATTCGTTAATCGAAATCGGTAAAGTTGGCTCGCGTTCAGAAGATCTCAGTACATCAAAAGAGGGGCACTAAGGCTTATTGAATAGCGTAGACGTCTCGAATTTTTTCCTCTCAGCGCATAGGAATGGATCACCTATATATGTCATGTAAGGTAGAAGACAAAAGGTGATCATGTTTATATCTCAAGGGTGACCCTTCGCTCTCGCGCTTCCGGCTAAAAGCTGAAAGGATATCTTTATATTATTGCGACGAAACGGAAAAAAAGATCGATACTACTGTATTGGCTTCTACTAAAATGAACAATTGCTTGAGATAACACACTCGAAAATGAAAACATTATTTACGTCCAAAGTCAATATTTCGATTTTCAATGGCCAAGAATGGGCTTCAGTTTTCTTGCTAGTGAAGCGAAATGACTCAACGATTGTAAGAGCAAACCTTGATTGTAAGTTACACGCAAGGCTAGTTGTTTTGGATACTGGAAGTTTAGTGATCATTTGTTTCTGTCAACTTCTTGTTTTCTTTCCAGTTGGAACTGTGATAACCACCGCCCAAAACAACTCTGCAAAGAGCTATGCCGGATTGTTGGCTGCATCCAGCAAGTTAAGTGTTCACGTTTCTTTGTCACTTTGAGGAAAATACTGAACTGTACTTGACTGATATGTACTCACTACACGACATCACAAGTGTTTGTCCAAAATTGGAGCCGCTGGCTTCTGATGAACCTTGCTGTCGCGAAGAAGAAAGTTTAAGATTGATGAATCATGCTAATGAACAGATGGACACACTTGTACGCGTTTCTGCTGAAAACAAAAACAGTTTAATGATGGAATCGAGCCAGTTGGATGTGTATGGAAAGACACCTTGTGTGGGAATGAGTGGCTACGAGGGAATGACGACCAACAACGCGATCGCTTACGAAGTGAAATCGATGGCAACCGTCGTGAAAACTCTGCACGGTAATGCCTACCATGCGAATGCTTCCGGTCAAATGTCGTATGCAACGGTCAAGATTCCTTACGAAATCAAATCGATTGGAACTATCGAGAAACCGATTCCTTTTGGAAGCAAGCCAAATGGAATAGAGAAATCGCGGCCAGATGAAGCTTACCATTCAAACACTTGTGGGCAAGTATCTAACGGGGCGATAAAGATTCCCTACGAAATCAAATCGATTGGCACTATCGAGAAGCCACTTCTGTCAGGGGAGTCGTATCCCACGAGTGTCTCCGAGGAGTTGCCCCATGGAAAGATTTTGAACGTGTATACGGTTCCAGTTTACGAAAACGGTGGTAGCCATGAAGTTTACTATTATCCCATGGAAAACGATACTCAAGAAGGAGGAGCAATTTCACAGACCTCCCAAGCTGGCACTCCTGTTAGTTATGTTTATGACAGTGGCTATGACCCCTGCGAAAGAACCCAGAGCAAACCAGAAGCGACACCTTCGTCCGCAGGTCTGACCGCCTGCCAGTCGAGTGCTTACGGGACAATACCACTCAATCAATTGGGTCCTGATAGATTGTCACAACCGTACGATATGCTTAGTCAAGAAAAGGCGCTAGGTCTCCAAAAGAATACTTTCAGGGGTACCCACAGGGCCTTGACATCGTATGAGATCGGAGCTCAGCCAAGACCCAGTTGTAATTGTTCTTGCCATCATTCTGATCCAGGTTCCTCTCATTTTCCCGCCTTTGGTTTGAGAAATGAACGTCCTTCTGTTATTATGGTTCCTGCAACCTGGAATGGTGATGTCATGGACGATGCTGCTGGCAAGGTGAGCTGTGCCCTAATTGGGTCTTTATGTTTTTCTTTTAAATGTTTTGTTTTGCCGCCGTTATCCCAGTAAACTTTGAAATATCCTTACTAAATGCAATGTACTGTTGTGATCTAAGTTTTTTTTTCCATCTAATAGATTTGATTTTTGTTGTTGCCTTTTCTTAGTGGTAACAACAACAATAACAGAAACTGTAATCACAACAATAACAGCGATAACAATACAAACACAACATCAAGAACAACAACAACAACAACAACAATAATAATAATAGTAATAATAATATTATTAGCAATGATAATGATGATAACTAGAAATGATACTATTCATGGCAAAAAATTGACCGGAAATCATTTTTCAAACAGTTTGAATCCGCCTCCCATGGGATCCGACAAGATCTGCAGCATAAAGAATATCACGAATTGGTAAGTTTTACAGTTGCATAGTCGATAAAAATAATACGCCATTTTACAGTTGCCAAGCATTTGATTTGGAGTGAGGTTGAAGGTGACCTTGTTGTGATAAAAACCGCTATCTAGTTGGCATGATAACAAAGTAATTCACATTTAGAAAGCAGCAAAGGTTGTATCATAATAAGGTCACCCTTAGCCTCACTCCTGTTCAAAGGCTTGGCAACCAAGCAGACAACTGTAAAATGGACTATTGCAGGCTTAGCCTGCAGAGCAGGCGTAATTTGGGCGAGCAAGTGCTCGGTATTTTCTTAGCAAAATATGGCCGCCATCTTTGATTTTAATGGCAGCGGAAGGCTGGGGAGACAAAAACATTTGTATTAAGGGGGTGAGTGAAAAAATGGAGGGGGCTGGGGGGGTCTTCTCGCCCCTTCCCGCCCCCCTTCTCCTACCCTCGATTCTGACACCAAATTAACCATGGCTGCTTAAATAAACGATCGCGCGCTTCTTAATGTTAACTGGCCCTATTAAGACGCTTGCACTGCAGACTATTGAGGCGTGAGTAGTCCAGTGGTCAATGCGCTGGACTCTGGGTCGGTTGGCCCGGGTTCAAGTCCTGGCTGGGGCATGATGTTGTGTCCTTAAGCAAGACGCTTCACTCACATTGCTTCTTCTTCTCGGATAAGACGTAAAGCCGTAGGTCCCGTTTCCTGCAGGGTCAGGGGCAGGAGACGTAATTTTACCGTGCACGAGATTACTGTGTAATGGATATCCTCCCCGGGGTGGGATGGGTAGGAAGGTGAGATCGCTACATGGACTGAAGCGGCTGCCAGAGGCGCCTGATAAAAATGCTGACGTCCGGTCTCAACCTTACGATACTGTTAAGAGCGACTGAATATATCCATGTAGAAGTCGGCGCTATATAAATGTAAAAATGTAAATGTATGAAAATGTATTGCAGGCTTTAGTAAACTTGGTTTGTCGATGGTTTTTACAGGAGGATTCTGACTCATCCGATGATGGTGATGAAGATGGTAAGCATGAAAAGTATTTCCGCAAGAACATCGACGGAACTACGGCGAGATTTAAGCTGTCCAAAGAAGACTGGAAGAGGATTCCAATCAACACATTCCCCAGCGGTGGCAGATTGTTGAGTGGCGACTGGACACGGATCTTCCTCAGCAAAGTCAAAGAAAGCAACCCATGGTGTAGCTTGCGCTTTAAGAATAATCACGTGAGATCAGAAAACTCTCGCAAAATCCACTCAGCGGTATTCTTCAGAGGAGGCGCGGAATGTAAGCGACCAGAATGCAACGTGAAGGTGCGATTCGTCATCCGGAAAGAAAGAGGAAAACACGTGGAGGTGACGTATGTTGGAAACGTTTGTCACAACAGTCAGCCAGGCGGTGGTGACGTCATAACTGACAAGAGAAAGAAGCGTTGTGTTCGCCGGCCAAGGTTTACGTCCAGTTTGGATGAGTGAACTTTACTTTCAAAACGAAACAATAACCATTAAAAAGTGAGTAATACTATCATTGCTTAAGAGGCGGATATGCTGCATCCGCAGGCATTTAAAACATTGCAGTAATTGTTATCTAGAAGTTTGCGATGGGATATAAGTCGCTCTGATAAATTTTAGAGAGCTGATGTTTCAAAGAAGAGCCGATACTTCGAAGAACATTTAATGATCGAAGCGTTATATCTACCTTTATCGTCTCCTAATCTACAAGAAAATAAGCGCTGGCCGAACTGTTGTTTAAAATGTCTTCCCATCCAGCACTAGTCCGTCTAAAATTAAAATATAAAAGGAAAAAAAGGAAATCCTTAGTAATGAAACTTTTTAAAGAACGCTAGTTTTAAAAGGCGCTATTGTGTACTAGGAAAAACTAAACAAAGTATCTACAATCAAAGAAACTTTATTTATTTCCAAAATTTAATATTTTTCTAAACAAACTTTTTACATTTAGATTATTTTGTCGACCGTACGTTTAATTGATTGATATCAGATGTCCGTAGTTTCATAGATATGACAGATATATTTTATACCTTCGGCCGTTAGAATAGTTTTACAACTGAATCTGGCTATTTTAGGGTAACGTCTGTATGAATTTCCAGCAAAGTTTTAGAGGTCAAGCTAGTTTGTAATAGCTGCGTAGAGAATAATTGTAAATCATTAAATTCATATTTCATACAGGTTTGAAAGAGTGAATCATAAGCAAAAAAAACATTTTATGCCAACCAGGAGCAATGCCAGTCTACAGACCTACAAAAAGTCGAAAAGCTGGCTAAGCCCCTTACCAACGTTAGCCAAGTTTAGATTACGTCGAACTACAGAAAGTATCACTTATGTGGCATCACTAAATTAGATTGGATTGTCGATGTACTGATTGGTGAATGCCAGTAGCTTGTGACGAATTTGTTTAAATGGTGAAGTGATGTCCTTCATCTCTAGCCATGTCTAAGTTATTACAAACGTTTTATTCTTTATCAGCAGTGTTTTTCCAACTGTTGAGTTACTTAGATGCACGCAAATACATTTAGCTTATTTGGCTTGAGTTTAATTTTACCAATTTGCCTTTAATGAACCTCGGGTAGCATCGTTGTTAAAGTAGTTTTAAACTTCTAGGAGTACTTAATTCGACATTTGTATGGCCACGTGCACGTAAATGCGTTTAAGGTGAGAAATTAGTCTGAATTCTGTTAGGTTAGAAAAATGGGCTTTTGACGACTAACCTTAATTATTTTTAACCTTAATGATTTTTATTCGAAAATGTGTGTATTGGTTCCCTTACATTTGTAACAAACAAATTAAAAGATAACATGATGTTCGCAGCACTGTTTGCACTAGCTGTTTGCACTGATCGCACCAAGTTAAGTATAGGATAAAATAAGTATGATTTTACATGTGCTGAGTAGGATGTTGTGTTCACAGGTTTATATAACTCCGTCAAAGAGTTATAATTAGATAACGTCGTTGGTGATTAGGTTGTTAAACCCTTCTTTTGAATATCGTTTATCCATTTATATTGCAATATACACGCAAATGCATTTAATTGTAATGATTTTTATTCGAAAATGTGTTTATTGGTTCCCTTACATTTGTAACAAACAAATTAAAAGATAACATGATGTTCGCAGCACTGTTTGCACTAGCTGTTTGCACTGATCGCACCAAGTTAAGTATAGGATAAAATAAGTATGATTTTACATGTGCTGAGTAGGATGTTGTGTTCACAGGTTTATATAACTCCGTCAAAGAGTTACTTGCACGTGGTAGTGATGAAATTTCAAGGCTGAGATACAATAACACTGACAGGCTAAAATACATTGGAGGAAGTACTCCGTAGCTAAGAGAAAAAAAAATGCACTGAGTTTCACTTACGTGCAAGCTTGACTTAGAAAAATATATTTTCGTGCCCTTTTGCTTGCCTTCCATGTCATCACATAGACCAGGACTGAGTTGATTGCAATAAAATTGTACCTTCCGTGAATGCTTGAGTGATCCGCCTTCAGTGACAAACCCCCCATCTAGAGCCTTGAGTTTCTAACAGGCCTCCCTCGATCTAAGAAGACATCGGCTCAACCCTGCCCTCAAACAAAAACTCTAGTATGGACTTTTCGTAGATAGCCTGGTAGTGAGACAGCATCGAAATAAACTTCGATTTAAAATCCTCAGTTTAATAGTTTCATCTTTTTTTCAATTTTGAATATTGTAAGTTTTCCATCTAAAGAAATTTATATCGTGCTAAAAGTTAATGACCCAACATTTTGTTTTTAATCACGGAGTTTCTGATACGCAGTCATCTCCAAAACATCCCCCCTATCCAGAAGCTTTGGTCATTATTAAGCTTCCCCTCTGGCCTATCAAGGTGTTTACAGTTTTACATTCAGCAACCTGTCGAGGCATTTCACTCGCACCTGCCAAAATATCTCACGCTATACTAAGCTAAGGAGAAAATACGGATTGATAGCAAAATATTACTCGTTAAGCTCAGACCTTTTGTGAATATTCTCTACTCTTTCGGTGGCTGGCCGAAAAGAATAAAACAGAAGTGTTGTAACAGCCTGAGACAGTTGAAGTTATACTCCACAAATTCAGTAAGACGTGTCAGAATGGATTTCCGAGCAGCCGTTTTTCTGATGTGTATTTTGGTGTCAGCATCCCTGATCTCTCAAACTAAAGCAGTCATTAGCCCTATGCATGGGAAAAGAACCTCAAAGTTTTCACCAGAAGCAGATGAGGAGAACTTCAACCAGGTTCAGTGTCTTGCGTTCGCTTTGTAAGAAAAGTGAGCTCCATTCATGCTCCTTAAGCACTCTCCAACACCGTTTATTTGTTCGTTTGTTTGTTTGTTTTTTTTTTATCAGAACTCATTTGACGAAGGACGGACTATCCGAGAATTATGCGTGGCTATGAGGGACGCTTGTGAAGAAGGAAACAGAAAGTGATATGAAAGCCTTTTGACAAGTTTGGAGCTTCGATTCCTTGGGTCTTCTTGTAATAATCAAAACTATATAAGTTTAGTAGAATATCGTATATTGTAAGGAAATATGGCAAAAGCAATAAAATTAACTATAAAATACAAATTGCTGGTTACCTTCAATTCGTTTGAAGGGGTGGGGGGGGAGTTATGTTCGTTTGACGAAGAGCTACTTGTCGGGAGGTGAATGGAACAATGAGCCCGCGTTGTAAACGTATCTTCTCGTGTTGATAACATCTCTCAAATGCTTTTGAAAAGGCTTTCCTCTGAATGGATATGGTTTAAATTATAGTTGTTGCAACTTAAAGAAAGAAAAGAATCAAGCAAACAAAAAGGAGTTGAAACCAGGACAAGATGCTCGGGAAGATGAGTTAAAGTACGAATTTAAGAATTGCTGATTTCCAGCATTTCATCTCAAAACTGAATATATCAAAGTCAGACTTGAAAAACGCATTATTACGTAATTGTGAGAATAGAGACACAAACCAGCAAGGCGATGGCCCACAGAAACCTTCAAACGAGCACTAATTGTATTCCTTCCTAAAGTTCACCCTCGAACGTAATAACGATATTTCGAATGGAAATTATTTACCATGTCAGTTACCATTATTATTATAGTTATCATTATTATTATAATTATCATTATTACTATAATTATCATTATTATTGTAGTTATCATTATTATTATTATTATCATTATCATTATTATTATTATTATTATCGTCTTTATTACCATTATCAACATCATTTTTATAGTTTATATCATTTAATCGTCCCCTGCCGCGATGGAAATGATCTAAATAATATGCACTAATAACATATACTTGGAGCAAACGTTTCACTGAGCTTCCCTGTGCCAGTTTGACTAACACTTTCGTAGTTTTTAAGAATGATTGGTGAAAATTGTTGTATTCCGTTCCTTCTCCAACTCACTAATTAGAATCTTGATCATGATAGTTTTGGACTAAGAAAAGACTCCTTAGTTTCTGTTGTTTTGTGGCCTAATAGAGAAAACTCTTTAAGTTGTGACACTGCACGCAAACGGTCACACCTGCTTATGGTGCGCCAAGGAGTGTGGAATGCTACGTCACGGTTTACACCCAAGGGAATAATCACATTTGCAAATCGAGTCACTACAATAACTCGTTTTCTACGATACAACGGGAAAATGAATGAAAATACGGGAGGCTATTGGGATAAATGTGAAGAATTGTGAAAACCGTGGGAAAAACCTTGAACTCCAGACATGACAGAGAACGGGAGAGGGGATATGATGGTATCAATTTATGATAGCAAGAATTTTGCAGCTTAATTGAAGAAATGACCGAGAGTCTGAAAACAGAAAAAAACACATTCTGGAAACAGTTAGTAATATTTCAAGAATTTATTACTTTTTATTTAACAGTTTTGCATGGATTGTGGACTAGCTTACATTTCGATTTTGAAACTTCTATAACTGCTTGGAAGAACTTGCTGAGAGAGAGCCTGTTTTTGTTTTAATATTCTCTTTCACAAACTTCCCTCATAGCCACACAAATATCACGGACGGTCCTTCCTTGATAATATGAACCCTAGAATAAATGAAGGAGAAACAGTTAGCGGGTATCAGATACAAGGGATCTCACTGATTTACAGGTGGAAAGCAACAGACCCACTAGTCAATACCGTACCTTGTTAAATATTTCTCTCGCTCTTTTTACCTCTCCTCGGTTTCTTTTTGATTGAGGCGTGGGTCTCGGACCTAACACTGCTTCTGTTTGACAGATCATGAAGGCTGACACCAAAATACAGACTAAGAGGAAAGTGACTCTTCGAGAATCCATTATCTCAACAAACTCTTAAGCGCAAAAAACAGCAGCAAAGAGTGATGAACTTGCCCAGAGATTTCTGCGTTTTATACCTTCATTTCGCGCCGGCGTCGTACAAGAAATTGATAATGTCTGTAACCAAACAGCCACTGAATTCACCAATTGACTGAAATTGTCTCCTTCTACGAAAATTAATTTATCCGAGAGGGTTTTATGGCGTCTGAAAAATGTTTTGGGCGTACTAAATTTGTAATGGGTATTGATAATAATAAAATTTGAATGTAATCTTGTTAGATGAGGGCACTTTTTGGGGACAGAAATTATGTACTTCTGTCACGTCACGAACATAAAACAACGAAAAAATTCTGAGTTCCCAAAAGGAATCGAACCTCAAAACTTCTGATTTCGTGCTCCTATGTTTTGCTACTGCCTTCATATGTGCTGAAAAATCGTCTTCGAACACTGACTTGTTGGATCTTGTCTTCCAACCTGGGTGCTCACCTGCTACTTAACAAAGCCTCCGTCTTCCTATTTCCATTTCTTGACGATCTGTTGGAACAGTTGGAGGCCACAAGAAGAAACTTTCTTGACTTCAGAAGGATCCACAAATTCACTATGAATGGGGGAGGGAGGGGAGGGGAGCCTTCAAATTTTGATCATGAGAACAGAAAATTTTTTTTATAACATAGCCTTAATAAGTTATGAAATGTTTCAAGACAAGCCTGTGTAAATCTTAAACAACTCATATTATTTTTCAGAAAAGTGGTAAAGAAAACTAACAGGTCTAAATTATGGGAGGGTGTTTAGACTCCCCGTCGGTACCCTTCTGCTAAGTCCACCTCTCTTTAACTTTAGAGTTCGCGCACTTTCAGTCAATCTTTCAAAAACTTCAACAGTGGTTGAAGCAATTTTAAAAGTTAAATTCATGATAAGAAATGAGTAAAAACAGAATTCCCTCTGACTTATAATTAAGGGAAGGTTCGAGTCAAAGTGGTCAACCACGTCCATGTAGCTTTGATGCAAATTGTTCGTTTAATAATGATCATATGGTCTTCAATAAATATTTTCAACTGGTTTGTTTTCAGTTCATAACTAAAGTAAAAGACTTGTTACAATCGACTCTCAAAGGAGAGAAGACCCAGTTCATATATATCTCAAGTATCTGTGATGGCAAGGAAATAATCAGTTTGACTAGGAATCGTTAAATGCAAATATCTTGAGTATGGCACTGTTTTTAAAATACTTTTGGGCGCTACATTTCTTGAAGTTAAGTTGGGTTTACGCGAATAAATATTGTTGCAATTATTACGATGAATGTTTCGTGGTCAGTAGAGTTTTTGTTAATATTTTAGCACGAGGAAGCGGGCGTTACGGGCTTGAAAAATGTTTGTGCGCTTTTCAAACGTGACACCTGCATTGAAAAGGCCATTTTGATAAGTGATGAATTCATTACAATGCTTCAGTGTTATCACAAAGGAAGATAATAAACTCCTCTACCAATAAAAAGGCATTGCTGTTCACAGGTGCAAAACCTCACCGAAAACAATGTGCAGCAGAAGAAGCTACGAACGAAAGAGCTCATTTGAATAATAAACATATGCAGTCTTTTTCCAGCTTAAATTTGAGCCTTTCAAATAAACGTTTTATCCAGCCTCAAAGAATTACGTTTTTTTTAGGGCGAATTCTTGTCGGGAGATCTTGTCCGAGCAAATGGGTCAGTTGTTGCTGAAATTCAAGGAATGGCGCGAAAAACTTGAGTTATCGCACGAAAAGGCAAAACATGGTAAATATATTCTATATCATCTCTTATTTACCGTTTGTAAGTCTGCAGGGCAACAAAACAGTATAGTTCATAGTAAGCTTTCGTTTCATTTTGGAATTAAGCAACTCGAATTTGAGTCATATCGTTTGACGCGGATTTTTGACTCCGATTAAAAACTTTGTTTGTTGACTTTTCACGTACGCGATGACGGTAATACTTTTACAATCAATGCCTTATGTGTTCCGTGACTTCAAGATGTCGCTAAGCGTTAAGATCAAACATAATTCGTTATTATTGTTACTAAATCTATCAACAGATAATCTTATATTGAGATTGGCAAATGTTGAGATGGGGACATTCCGCATTACGCTTTGTATAACAGAAGACAAGTGTTTATAAAACTCAGTGAATTCCCGGTTAAGTTCTTTGAGCGGTCTCAGCAAAGATCGAAGAGCGAGATATCCCAAAATAATCTTTCTTTAAGTCAAGGGCGGATCACATTTGATACCAGAATGGTTTAACCTTAGTTTCAAAAGTAAAACAACATATTTATTGTAAACTACCTGTTTACAATAATTTTCTCCTTAAAGAAAGGGTGCAAAATCGATGAACTTCCAAAATAAAAACAAAATACAAGCTTTCATGTCACATGTCGTGTCATGAATATTTATTTTAATTCAACCGTCACATTTTATTCCTTTAAGATTGAAGTATCTTTTCAAGGCAGCCAAGTGTCATTCATGAAACTAACACCTCAGCGAATGAACTGGCTTTCTCGGCCCATTTTACTTATACATCAGTCAATATGCTTTCAGTATCTGAGAGTGATTATTCATCGGATTATTCAGACCGAGGATAGGAAGATAGTCTCATTTCATAAAATATTGCAGATTTTTGTCATCAGTGAAATTGTATGAAAGCGATCCTCGCAGTAATGAACACTACATTACTTTAGTAGTAGTGAAAATAAGGCCGTACTGGCCTGATTTTATTTTTTCAGACCTTATTTTCATTACCACTTAAGTAGTGTTCACTACTGCGAGAATCGCCTTCATACAGTTCTTAAAACTGCGGTGCACGTATATGATTTTCATATCATTTAAATTCATTGATCAGTGTAACTATTAGAATGTACCTCGTGGCTTGCACAGAAATATTTAGACTAGAAAGTCCACCATGATTTTCATAATGTGCTTTCCTGGATATCACTTTCTTAAAAAGTAAGCTGCGAACGTCTTTTATGCATGGAATAGGTCGACTAGGTACAGGATGTCAGTCGAACTGAAATTGCGGTTAATTTTACGAGTCGCGAACAGGGTTGTGGTAAACGCCTTTACGTGATGCAACGGTTGAGAATAACTCAGTTATTGAAGTTTTCAAACGAGATATTTTCTTCCGAGATATTATTATCTTTAAAGCAACGATCAGTGAAAACAAAGAAAAATACTGCAATACAAGAGAATTAAAAGTTGTTGTTATTATTTTGTTGTATTTTTGCATCGTTTTGGTTAGTCTGATTGCAAAGTTCAACTCTAGAACCTTATAAAGGTACTAAAAACTTGGTAAAAAATTTGACGACGTTGCTTCACGTCACTTATCATTATCAAGTCATTATCAGGTCAAGAATTAAAATGACTGGTGAAAATACATTAAGTAATGAAAACAATGGAGAAAATGGTTCAGCGTCCCTTTGGTTAAAGTTCCCAAAATGAAACCACAGTTAAGTGTTGGATAAAAAGTTTGGTGCGAATCGAGTCCTTCTGCGTGTTCAACGAGAGTTTGATGTTCCGAATAACAATGATCTTCTAGATTGCCTTTTTAAAGTGAGAAAAGAAATGTACCAGCAAGTTTGACTGTCTGACCTAATACGCATTATTGCGGTGAGGTGGTTTTTTTTTTTTTTTTTCTGTATCAATTCTTTATTTATTTATGAATAAAGGCTGATAGTTTCGAAATAAACTGTTTGGGGCTGCGTCGGTGGGGGTAACGAAATAATTTGGATATATCAACAAAGTTGAAATGGTAAATTGGCCACCGTAACGATTACAAAAGCTGACGTTTCGAGCGTTAGCCCTTCGTCGGAGCAAATAGAGGCACACAAAACCCACAATTCCTCTATTCGCTCCGACGAAGGGCTAACGCTCGAAACGTCAGCTTTTGTAATCGTTACGGTGGCCAATTTACCATTTCAACTTTGTTGATATATCCAAATTACTTTATTTATTTACTTTTTTGTGCAGGGCCTTCCAGGACCATCTCTCTTGAGAAAAAGTTATTACCCAGTGAAGACGACCAGAAACTAACCAAAGACTATGGTGCAGCACATGAAACTAAAACAGTGTCATCCTCAGACGAACTGTTCTCAAAATTAGACACGTTGGAGCGTGTCTTGGAAGACCAAAAGAAATTCCTCGAGGATCATGATGCAAAGATACAAGAAATAGAAAACTTTATCAGAAAATTAGCCAAGGAACGAGAGGAAAATCAGGAACGAACTGAGCAAGGTGAGAACGAAAACTAAATCTCGTTATTTTGGTGGAGGGAGGCAAATCTTAGAGGCCGATGAAAACTCAACTGATTCAGGTTACTATGCATTTGAGGACAATGCTGTTCTTTGTGGGACTATTGGGCTTGAGGAGACTTTTCGTGGCCCAGCCATTAGGATAAGAATGACAAGAGCGCACGCATTCCGCTAACATTTGACTGCCTCAGATTTCCGGTACCGGAATATCATCTTAAATACCATCATAAATTGAGATATAGTCTTCTAAGCAATTGTTTTCTTCTTTTGTACGTATTTCACTTTTTTTTGTTTTCATTCCCCGGCTATTGAGTTGCCACACCTTTTCATTTCAGAAGTTAAATTCAACGACCCTTGGATGAGGTTCGAGCAACACAAGCAGATTCTACAGACCCACGAGGAGAGACTCGAGAAAAATGCCACCAAGATTGAGATAATCAGAGAAATGCTAAATGACATTCAAGGTACGGTCTTCTGTGATCTTTTTTATTTTTTTATCAGTTTCTTTTTTCGTTTGTGGGTTTTTTTTTTGTCACAGTCCGACTCTCTTAACTTTTGTCATGATGTAGGACCCATGTAGGTTTGGCCTAAGGGCAGCCCTCGTGGGCTCCTATCACGCACGTTCCACGGGAGATAACTCTGCTCTTTCACAATAGGCCATTTTACAGTTGTGTACTTAGTTGCCAAGCCTTTGATTCAGAGTGAGGTTGAAGGTGACCTTGCTGTGATAGAGACCTGTATCTAGTTAGCATGATTACAAAGTGATTTAAATTTGAAAGGTAGCAAGGTTTGTATCATAACAAGGTTGTATCATAACTATTCATGGAAGGGAATTGTAAAAAATTTTAAGGTCTTTAAAATCAGTGTGCAAGGTGCACTTAAATTTCTCTCTTCACAGATACTCGTTTGATGAAATGACGACTTGAAAAAAGATTACCTTCCCAAATGAATGAAAATTCCTCTTATGGGTCACAAGTATGCTTTTCCCATCTGTTGAAGAGTAAATATTTTCCTAATAACCCCAAGTGAGGAAATAGAAATAGTATACAAGAGGTATTAGAAATGCATGTGATTTGAATCAAAGCCAGTTCAGAGCACCTACCCCTCCCATAACCCAACAACGGTGAACCGTTAAAAACTTCGAATTCATGTTTACTTAGGGGAGTGGTGGGGGCACAGTTAATCAACTACTGATATTGATCCTATAATTTTGTTGTTTTCTATCTTAAAAGGAGACCAAGGAAGTGAAGTACTGAAACTAAAACTTGGGGAATACAAACAACAGTTAAAGAAAGGAAGAGAATATTATGAGAAGTTGAAGAAAGAGGTGGAAGAGCAGCTTCAAATCCAACAGAAGCAGCATGATAACATGTTAGCTGGTTTTATTGTGGGTTTTGTGATACTGGTGATGATTTTCATGGTACCAAGAACACTCTTGACATCTGGATAATACCAGTACCATCAACATCATGCATTGTTGGAACAATGCTAACAGCTGTTTATTACTTTTCAGCATTGGCAATCATTAGCAGGGCTGTGCAACAAGGCTCAAACATCAAACTGCACTAAAAATTATTACAGTGTAATATTTGGCAACAAACAGTTTAAGTCATTAAAGGGTGATTTTCATGAGCAGACAGGCCTCAGACATGAAGTAATGAAGCTGCCTTAAAATCGTTTTTCTTAACAAGTATGTGCCACAAGCTTATTCTAAAAGAACTAGATCTGTTAATAAAATAGACTTACTACAGCAATTTTCTTTGTGCAGAATCTTTGACACCCTACAAACTCTGAAATTTACTACATACTCTTGGGAAGAAAAAGAAATAAAAAAGGACCACTATTATTACTTATTAGAGCCTCTTTTCAAAAAATGGCTCCAAGCCAAGCTAACAATTTTGTAGCATGCAGCCATCAATCATCATAGTAACTGACAGGCTGAGATAAATGAACTCCTCCCACCACAATTCAGCACAGAACCTTTTGAATCCCATGAAACATTTCAGTTTAACAAGAGGTCTACAACATGAATAAAGGGAGCAAAAAGCAAATTTTAAATGATCCAATCTTCACCCTTCATGGTTTACTTGTTATTGAAAAACTCAATCACCTATAGTTTCTCCCAAATGAAAATTAGCTGTTTAAATAAAGGAAACCTATCAATGAAAAAACAGTCAAACCCATACAAATAAATATCTGCTTGTATGTATCAAAAACTCAACAAATATCATGATTTAAATAGCTTTACATTGATTTGTAATTGGAATGGCCAAATTTTACCATTGATTTCTATTTGGAAAGGCCAATTTTCCTTCTTTGTTTTTCATTGTTAAACAATAGACCACAGAAAGATGCCTTTTTGAGTACATCATACCTTTTGTAAGGTTTATTCTCATGACTTAATAGTGACATCAATTCAATGGTTTTCCTTAAAATACTTAAAATGCATATTAAAATTTGTCATTAGTGGTCAATAGAGTATGGTTGGAGCCAGAGAAGGGGAGGTCAAGGAGGCATTTTATACAACTTTCAAAGGGTACATAGCATTAGTCAGAACCAGCCAATCAGATCAGGCCATCAACAATAAGAAGTTTGTTGTTTAACAGACCTTTCTAGCTAAACTGGTCAATTCATAAGTGTATATTCACAGCTAAAATTGAATTTTTTAAGAAGAGGGAAAATAGTCAAGAAAAACCTGGTCAGGCAAGCACATTGGCTGATGTTCTGAGTTGGTCAATTCCAAGCCGATATGCACAATCAGAACCAGGTTTAATGATAATTACAGGTAGAGAGCACGGGATTTTAAATTCCTACTTTGATCTTAATTCATGACTTCCTACATCATAGAAAAAATTCAGTGATCTTCCTCTCCAGCGGAAAAAAGCACTAGCTAGCTGACCGATCTGCTCAGTGGATAAGTCTCTTACTGTCATATTATCTGAAAACTCTAGTTCATCAAAAATTAAATGGCTTCCAGGGCTAATAGTTTCCATTACATCTAACACTCTGCTTTTTGGTTTGACCAACAGAAGTCTGATAAAGTAGTTTAAATATTCCAGATCTTCCCTTGATATATCCACACTCGGTTGTTTCTTAGGCACAATACTCACCAACGTCAGAAAACAGTCTTTTTCTTTGCTTTGAACAGGATAAAACAGAGAACAAGGTTCTCGGAGTAAAATATTTATATCGCAAAATATTTCCAACATGATTGACTGTCTATTATAATATTTACTCCCGAACTGAGCAGTGATTTTATGTGCACGATCCTCTGCAAAGAAAAACGCTAATTCGCATCTCCCTTTGTGGAAGATACCGTTCTTTGCAGCTATTGCCCCAAGATGCCTTAACAAATTTCGGTGAACAACATCAGGGTTAACAGCGGCCTCGATACCAACAAATCTCGCTGCTAAGTGATCGGATCCCCATGGCTGGGGTTTAACAGATCGCAGCACATCCTCGGATGAAATAGCCGGAGGGATACAGACATCTTTCTTCATCAAATGTGGGTCGATTTTACTAAAGTCACCATGGAGGATTTCAAATCTTTCCCCTTCTGAAAGATGCGATTTGAGGTCCACTAACGAAGGATGGAATTTTCTCTCTGGTTCGAGCCCAATCACATGACTCGCTCCGGCTTTAAATAATGCTTCTACTAGAACTCCCGTTCCAGGATTTGTTGCAATTATCGTATCGTCTCGTAAAGGATGAAGCCCTCTTACAATTCTAGCGGCCAAGTCTTCGTTTAGAATGTATCTGTAGTTTCTCTTCAATCTCGTATATAAATCATTGTCATTATGTCTTGCTAAGGATGATTTTTTTGAATGACACAACGAAAGACACTTATTAAAGGAACGAAAACGTTTCACCATCCACAATGACCTCTTCCATCGAGCCGCCATATTGTTATGTAATACCCCGAATTGACTGCTGGGAGTGTTTCAGTTTCAAGATGGCGGAAGACAGGGAGGTATTACGATACATCTGGGACGGAAGACTACCTGTCTGTTTCAATTTAAGTTCAGATGAGGTGGTTACTGTAGAACAACCGGATCCTTACTATGTGAGTAGTGCTTTTACCCTCTGTAAATTGACGTGTTTGAAGTACTTTAAGTGCCTAATCGAACGCACTGCGCTGATTAGCTCTAGCTATTGGTTGTTAATCTATAATTATCAACACTCCTCGCCATTTCTCGCCAGTATAACTCCTTTATAGCAGTCGCAAACATTTTCCCGGAAAACATGCCAATCAAAATCATGAAAACCTTTTTGCCTCGTGGTCTCTTGTTAGTCTACAGCTACTCTGTATTACGGACAGTTGTCGGCGAAATCTGAATCAAGAGGGGAGGGGTAGTATGGAAGGTTGATTTTCTCTGCTATTTATCGTAAGCTAATTTCAATCAAACGGCCATTTTCCTTTTTTTCCTCCTCCGTTCTTTTTGTACGGCAATCTCACCCTTGCAATTCTCTATCTTCTCTCATTTCTTTCATTGTTTTTTTGTTTTGTTTTGTTTCGTTTGTTTTTTGTTCTTGCCCCTGTGTAATGTTAGCTTGTAACTTTGTCTTATATAGCTATTTATATCTCTATTCTTAGGTTACTTTTACTCTATTAATACACATGACCATAATCTTTTCTAATTTGTATTTCATAGATAGCTGCCTAATTTTCCTAGCCCTTATGGTTATTATAGGCAGCTAATACCTTACTCTTAAGTTTCAAAATCTATGTATTGCTTTTTTCTTCTTGTTGGTATATTAGAAACTTGTATACGAGTCCTAGCTGTAGATAGTATATAGTGCTAGCCTGTGGTAATTTTGCCAGTTAATCCTTTTCTCTCTAGCATCTCAGAGACAAAATTTACACATCTAATTTCTTATAGACAGGCTGTCTAGTTAAATGGAGATCTGCTGCAGTTGATAAGCTTACACACAAGGGCCAGAGCTGTTAAAAAAAAAGTTTTCAAACATATTATTTTGCCAAGTGCAATGCTGATGAAAGGATTTGTGAAAAGATCACAAGATTGAATATTTTGCCAAATTTTATGCTGTGCTAATGATATTCTCAGCACCAAAACATAGGGGGGCTCAGCCCTCCAAAATGTTTGCTATGGTGGACTACAGCCCCCTGCTCTGCCTCCTATGCATCATTGTGCACATTCTCCAAACTGTGCTGACAAGGAGAATTTGTTTGACAATCAAGAGCTGCTAATAGTTTGTGATCATTTCCTTAAATAAGTTGCTTGTTTTTCCTAAGAATTAAATAGTCAATGAAAGTAAAGGGAGCAGAACTGTGGAACAATATGCAGAGCTTATTTTTTCTATGCCAACTATCTGTTGTTAGTATATACCAAAACAGTGGATAGCGTTGAAGGAATGCTCTGATTGGTTAGTCAAACTCCGAATATCCTTTGCTATTTACCTCCGAGCAACTCGGGAAAAAATGGCGTCCCAGTTTGCATCCATTACAAGCGAAGAAATCACTCAAATTAACGACGGTGGTGTATATTATCTCACTGTTTTAGTATATACTAAAACAACTATTCACCTCAGAGTCGGTGGTTAGCGGTGGATGTTTACCTCGCCACTTCGCGGCTCGGTAAATATCCACCACTAACCACCTCCACTTCGGTGAATAGTTGTTAAATATCTGCTAATCTGCCACCTAACAATTCAAAGTACACTCAAAACTGCCAGCTATGCAGGCCAGTACAGTACCTGTAGTGTGAGAAATGCTTCTAGAAACCCTCCATCAATGAGAAGCTCCCCTCTTAATGAGCATGATGTCTTAAGAGCTTCAATTTTCAGTAAACCCCTATCTCTTTTTAGCTTTGCTCTTTTCCAGAGAAAAGACTCTGCAACAGTATTTTTATTTCTAAATGTTGGGCTGGGTAACATCACAGTGCAAAAAAGACTTTTACTTTGCAAAGTCTGTTTTAGTTCCAGTTTGAATATCATTGCTGTTCAATCAAAGACACGCATCTTTTATTTAGAATTTATTAAATCAAGGTGACAGTTTAGAGAAAAGACAATGAATCACATTAAGGTCTTAAGGAAGTTTCAAGATATGCTCCCCATCTCTTGCTAAGTGACCTCTATTGACCCCCCTCAAGGGTCTACTACAGTGGGAACAGTATTGAAAGCATTACAAGCAGGTTTCCTTTCAAAGCAGGCAAACTGAATTGTATTTTTTATGTGTTTTTAAAAGGAACTGTATACTTTGTCTGTTTCTTTATACCATGACAGACCACTTGTAATAATTTTTGCAGTTAACAAATATTTGGTTTGAAATATTTTTCAGCTTTTGGTTCCAAGACTGAGCTACCTGACACTTGTCACGGATAAAGTTCAGCGACATTTCCAAAGGGCAATCAGTAATGAAAGTGTTGATGAAGTGTGGTTTGAGTATGATGGACAGCCATTGAAATGGTAAATACTTGTAAGATTCTTCCTTAATTAAAGGCAGTAGAAAAAGAGACATCTGAAAAGATACGAGGCAATTCATTTCTTGTTGTCTTTTTCATTGGTGAGAAAAGGATCTATTTATTTATTTGTGATGGAGGATAGAGACAATAATTATAGGTTATCCACAAAATAAAAAGATAACAGAGATAATACAATGGTAGCACTTACTGATTATAATAATATCAGTTACAACTTTCCAACTTCCCCCCCCCCTCCCCACAAGAGATTCAATGGTTCTTCACTAAATTATCAAATTATAGCCAAAAACTAAAAACTGAAGAAAAAGACTAGTTATTGAATAGATAAATAATTAATTTTTAGTTATGAATCATTTTGGTGTGAAGTATTGAAACAAAATACAAACAGAGAATAAAAGTACTCAATGATACCACACACCAAAACATCAAGTACGATATATGCTCCCATGATGTGTCTGGTTTTTTAGCTCATTTGTTAGTGGCGCTGAAGCATTATATGAAAGGCACAGCTAAAATCCCAGCTAAAGCCTGAAATTTTTCTCTGGGTCTTCATTATCAGAGGAGATTTCCTACAGTCAAACTTTGAATACCAATTCATTACTTGTTATGTATATGCTACTTGTAATGTCTCGTGAAAGTTGTTTTCTAATAGGACACCAGATGGGACATGTGCTCGGGTTCATGTCAGGCTGTACTCTGAAACAACTTAGGGATTAAAAGTATCGTTTGTAATAAAACCCGTTTGTTGCTGTATAAAGCCACAACGTTACACTACTTATCAGCAAAAAAAAAAAGAAACAATATCCTTTTTCCTCTCAATGGTCTGATTTGGTCAAGAGGAATTAATGGATAAAGTTATGTGATATTTGTTTTACTGCACTTTAGGCACTATCCTATTGGTGTCCTGTTTGACTTGCATGGTTCAGCGGCTTCTTTACCATGGAATCTTACAGTTCATTTCCAGGTAATTAGCAAATATTGAATTTCCAAATGTAACATTAAAAAACGTGAACATCAACCTTATGAACTTATTCACAGCTCAAAGGAAGATGTTATTCATCTTTTCACCTTTGCATTGGACCTAGAAAAAACCAATTCAGGTCATCCATGAGGAGTTACACCCCAAACCTCTCAATTTCATGCACTGTTGGGATTGATGTCTTTATCTGAGCAACTGCATACCTACACCTCCCCTGACCCCCAACAACATTCAACTGTCTGATAACAAGCTAGGTTTAAGTTTGGTCCAGGGAGGGGTACTGTGGTGCTCAGTTGCAATTGATAAGGAATTTGATCCCCCTGTTGTTTTGTCAAAGAGTTACAGAGAACTTGGTGTTGAGTTAGGCTATTACCAGAGTTGTATGTAATAAGCAGTCTGCATACAGCTTCATTCAGTAATGTCGAAAGTGTTGTCTAGTCTAAGAGAATAATTATAAAGAACAAAATTGTGCTTTGTCAGGAACATTTTTTAAATATTTTTTGTCCTAAGCATAGGATTGTCACAACTTACATCTTATCTACAAGATTAGCTTTGTCAATTGAATTGCTAAAACCTTCAAAGAATACAAATTAGTTCTATAATATAATGGAGACCATGTACTGAGTTTGTAATTGATACACTAAATTCAATCTGCAGAAATTCCCAGAAACTGAAGTGATGAGATGTCCTGGGAAAGAAGCTATAGAGTCGCATTTTATGTCTGCTGTCAAAGAGGTAACAGTTTAGTTTGAAAGATGTAATTTTTACATTCAAAAGGAATTTCATTCGAAAAATAGAATTTGCTATAATTAATTTTCCAGCTCATATTAAGCGCTACTAATTGATCATTCAAATGCCCTTTTCTTGGATTTTGTCTGCCCTTTAGGTGTGGAGTG